ATATATATATATATAATAGTGATAGATGCATACAATGTTTATAACAGCACAATTCATAATAGCTAAATCCTGGAAGCAGCTTGTATGTACATCAAAATGTATGTACATCAAAGTGAATAAAGAAAATGTGGTATCTATATAATGGAATACTTCTCAGCTCTAAAGAAGGATAAATTTGAGATATTTGTAGGAAAATGGATACACCCAGGACATATAATGTTGAGTGAAGGAAATCAGACACATAAACTTACATACAGTATTATATCGCTCATTTGAGTAAAGCAAAGTACAAACAAGCAGCAAAATAAAGGAAGAGTAGAAGGAAAGAAGAGGATAGATCTTTTGCAAAAGGGAAGGGCTCCAGGGGCTGAGTGCAAGAGGAGGGTAGTAGAAGTAACTAAATTTAAAGTGAGCTATGTACAGGTACCAAATAACCACAATGAATATAAACATAATAGACATATGAAGCAATAAATATGAGATAAGTATATTAAGAAAAATGAAACAGAGGAAAGGAAATTTAGAGACAAAGGAAGGGATGTGCGTGTGAAGAGGAAAGTGATTAAAAAGAAACAAGCTATGTTATACATATACACCTACTCCCCCAAATGAATGTGAACTTCCTGCACTACAAATATGCACTAATAAAATGAAAATTAAAAATAAAAGCTTTGTTTTTATACTGGACTCCTTGCAAAAAACCAACTAAATTACAGAAAACAGAAGAATATATAAAATAAATTACAACACATATATACTGATAACATTTTATTAAACATCAAACAAATATTATTTTACAGCATTATGAAATATAATTTACAATTAGAGTTAAGAGTTTTATGTTCATCATGCAACTTAATTTTTAAAATTCTGTGTGAATATTTCCGCGGACCTCTCCAGTTTTAGTTAAAAAAATTGCTTTAATGTCTTTATTTTCCTTTGGTACCAGGGGTTGAACTCAGGACCTTGTGCATGTGAAGCAGGCGTGGTGCCACTGAGCTAAATCCCTGTCCCGTTTGTGTTTTAAATAACTTCTTGAAGGTCTAACCTTGCAAACCTCATTATGATGTTAAGTGATAAAAAGCATAAAATATACATAAACTATTGGTACAAATGTCAGTTTTAGAAGTAAAGTGTTTTCTGATTAATGAGAATATGGTGTTTTTTTATTCTTTCTAATTTTCACTTTTTCCCCAGCATTGTAATGAGAATGTTTGTTGACTATACAATGAATATAAAATCATTACATAATTAGATCTGAAACATCAATGGAAATAAGTTTATAAGAAATAAGTTTATACATTAACCCTTGGCAAGTGTTTATGAAATTTTCCTCTTATTTGATATAACAGTACATGTTGAATTTTCAAAGGTTGTATTGGCTCTTTATTGTATTGTTAATATAGCTCACAGCTAACTGAAAAAAATGAAGTTGATGCCAAAATATAAACTTCAAATGCCACTTATACTGCTTGATGAGTGCATAATCTTTGGGTTATCTACTTCAGCATTTACCAATGAGAATGAAAAAATATATAAATAAATAATCACATGTAATACAATTAAAGAGATTGTGGCAGTATCAGTTTAAATAAGGTATGAGGTAGTTCATGGATGCTGGAGGAAAAAGGAGAAATAGAATACTGGTAAGATTATCTGCAGATTCAATGTATTTCTACTTGGAGAAAAACAGAGGATATTGAAGCAATGTAATGTTGAAACTTGGGGCCTCAGTATTGAGTTCAAAGAGATGATAAATTGAGTCAGAGTTGTTTTATATTTCAGTATGGGTCTAGATTAGGTTATATAATCTTGTTTATTGCGGGAAAGGTTGAGATCAATTCCTGAGTAGAATCTGGTAATTTCTAGTCCCAGAGTAAAGAGATCCAATTTTCATGTATTTGTGTATTATTCTCTTTTGTGTTTTCACACTGACAAAAACCAAAATTTAAAATTTAATGGCTTAAAATAAAATTTAATATAGCTGTTAATTTGCAATGTATTAGAATGAGCTAAGTTCCAAGGCAAGCCTTGTAGAACATGGCGCTATGACAGAAATTATATTTCTAAAATAGTGAAATTATTTTGACAATGTGAAAGAATCTGAAAATAGATTGGAAGGAGAGCAGTAGAACTAGCTCATTCTATCCATGAAGAACAACTTGAGGAAGGAGTGGAATAAGACTATGGCTTATAAAGAAATATTTATAGGAATTAGTGATGTCCTTCCTCTATCCATCTTACATAGTAACAAACTCAAGAGCCAACATTGCCTCATGGCCATATGAAATGAAAAACAAAACAAAACAAAACAAAAAAACAGTGAGAAGAATTTACTGCTAGCGAGCTTACAGGTTTCTTCTCCTGCGTAGGGAGTCACACTAGTCCAAAGTAAGATAAAGGGCCAAGATGACCTGGTGCTTTCTGTGGACTTACAGACTTGTTCCCCAAATTCACATCACCGCAGTTTTATTTTGTGCACAGCGCGTGCCACATTTGCTCCCATTACCAAAGTAAATACCTAGGATTGGTTAACACAAAAGTACCAAAATACCAACTGTACCAAAAAGAAAACAATGTACGGCAATATTGGGAAAGCAGAGAAAGCTGCCAGATGGTAACAATAGATACTCCTTTCTCCACTAGTTTACCAATGGTGAAGTCAAGTTTCATTCCAATGAAGAGGTGAGGACACGGAGAGAAAACGTCTATGGGTTGCGGTTTTTGAGGCCCAGGGCCCTGTGGAAGGTCCGGCTGAGGGCATTCTTCACCGCATTATTTCTCAGGCTGTAGATGATGGGATTCAACATGGGAGTCACAATAGTGTAGGACAATGATAATAATTTCTTGCTTTCAGGGGAATTATTTGATTTGGGCCTAAAGTATGTGAGGCTTAAAGATACATAGAAGAAGGACACAGCAAGAAGGTGAGAAGAGCAGGTAGAAAAGGCTTTATGCTTCCCTTTAGCTGATGGAATCTTGAGGATGGCAGCAGCAATGCGTGTGTAGGAAGACAAGATCAGCAAGCAGGGTATCATGACCACCAGAATGGTTCCCACAATGGCGTAGATCTCAAACAGTGCTGTGTCTGCACAGACCAGCCTCAGCACGGGTGGGCTGTCACAGAAGAAGTGGTTCACTTTGTTGGTGGTACAGAATGGGAAACTGAAGAGCCACGTGGTCTGGACAGTGGCTACAGGAAATCCTGGAAACCAGGAGGCTGCAGCCAGCTTGGTGCATGTCCTTTGGTTCATGAGCACTGGGTAGTGCAAGGGACTGCAGATGGCTACATAGCGGTCATATGCCATGGTGGCCAACAGGAAGTACTCAGCCACTCCAAAGAAGAAAAAGAAATACATCTGAGTGGCACAGCCAAGGAAAGAGATGGTTGTGTCCTGGGCAAGCAGGGTTCTCAGCATTTTAGGAACGATGACTAGGTTGAAGCTAATCTCCAAGAAAGACAAGTTCCTGAGGAAGAAGTACATGGGACTGTGCAGCATGGGGTCAGCCAAGGTAACCAGAATGATGAGGCTGTTTCCCATCAGGGTGACCAGGTAGATGATGAGAAATACCAGGAAGAGCAAAGACTGTATCTTGGTAGGTAGAGAAGTGAAGCTCATGAGGATAAACTCATTTAGCCTTGTACAGTTTCCTTCAGCCATAGGCATAAGTACAGGTCCTCTGTATAGTCACATAGAGAAATCCATTCTGAATATGTCTTTCAGGTTCCTTCTTATTGTTAGTGAATTAGACAAGGTTAAGATCTTGGATTTCAGATAGACCTATACAGAAATTGTTTCCAAGTCAGAGTCATGAGTCTCTGAAGGGGACATGAAAGGACATGTATTGAAACACAATGAAGTGCCTCAGAACACCTGAGCTTTTGAGAAACATGCGCAATGTTAATGATCTCATTAGAAAACACATAAAAGTGCATATACCAAAACTCTAGAAATACATATATATTATATTGTGAAGTAAGTTATGTATTGATTCTTCTAATCTTCATGAATATTTCTTGATTGTCTAGAATTTGAAAGGTTATTGACTAGCATATATTGAGATGAAGTAATTTTTTTCACCATATAGTACACTCAAGTTTATTTGATTTATTTTTATATTTAACAATTCAAAAGTAAGCTTGCTTTGACAAAAAGTGAAAAATACAGTTGCACTGTCCCCTCTTTCGGAGAAAAAGTTTATATGAATAACTAGGTAGAGTTATGCTTTTACTTTAGCACCCCTTTTTTGGTATTGGGGATCGAACTCAGGTCCTTGTGCTTGTGAGGCAGGCGGAAAAACCACCGAGCTAAATCCCCATCCCTATTTTAGCCTTTTTTTTGATCAATGAAGAAATTTTATTATTTTTCTCTGCATTTTATTTTCTCATATTTCTATACTTTCTGTGAGGACCCTGACCTCAAAGAAATAAGGAATAGCAATTAAGTAGAGCAATCCAAATCACATTTGTTGGATTCCAAATATTGTCTTGATTTATCCTAAACTGTGATTTCTTAGAGTGTTGTGTCGTGAACTCAGAGCTAACTCTTGGTGTCTAAGAGAGTTAATGGGAATTTCTACAAAATCTCAATATATATAATGAAAAAGATGACCAAGTTAATCAATGTCATGAATATCAAGACATTCACAAGGTTGTCTAGACTCAACTGGATGCCAATGTTGTGTTGCAGCTTTTAATTTTCAGTTAAGTATCAAAAGGGTTTCTTTTCTTTTTTCATAATCTAGAATGTTGAATTCTGATGGAGATAAAAATATAAATTTGGAAAATGAAATTGGTTCAGAGGCTTGGATAAAGGAAGAAAATTAGAGAAGGCTAAGGAACTGGAACAGAATTAACACAAAGTAAAAACCACATAAGCATGCAATTAAAGTTCTGTACCTTTTGCATCAGTATGCTAAGGAATTTGGCCAAATTCTATCTGTTAAGCAATTAACCTTAAACTTCAAATGATCAAATGACACTTCATATATAAGTCATGGAGAAAGATCATTCTGATGTTGTGATACTACGTGGTGTGGTGTGGAAGTAGGGGAGGGATCAATAGCTCTTTTCCTGGTCTCAAGGAGATCGGGGGTATCTCCTTAGTGCTATCACTGTTCACTAACAACTTTTCAAGCAGCATGGGAAACGCAGTTACCAGAGAAAGGACAAATACTGGTCAGGTCCTTGCGAATAATTTGTGTTTGTTGTGAGAAACTAAAAGTGTAAATAGAATCAAAATGAATAATTGATAGTGTGAAATAGGAAGAAAAGATCTAAATGGGTAGGGGGATTGGAAAAGGAAAAGGAAAGAATGGAAACCAAGTCTTTGTAAATAGGGAGGAGTGGAAGGGTAAAGGGAGGGCAGGGGAATGGGGAAAACGTAAGACCCAAATACATCATGTAAAGGTACAAGATCCCAATGGTGAATGTAACTGCATTATAGACCTAAAATGTACCAATAAACTTAATGGAAGAAAAAAATTTGTATTTTGGAGTTTAATTTTGGAATTTAACATTCAAGTGCATGAAAGTATAAAAATACAATCATTTTCACAAAATAATTTTGATCAAATGAATCTAATATTTCTCTGAATTATATATTGTCTACAGCTTCAAGCCAAACTTTAAAAAACCAAATACACTTTTTAAAAGATAATAAAAGGGCCAGTGGTGCACCAAACAGATATACTCAACTAACATTGGAAATGCAAGACAGCCCTCTGCATTTTAGAATAGGTGAACGGAGGAGTTCATGGGAGATGTGTAGTCAAATCAATCTGGATTTATGAGATGAATCCAAGGAATCAGAGTAGTTGATTCCCACCTTGAGAATGAGTCCAGAAGAAAGTGGAGAGACATTGGATTGCTTCTATTGCTTACTTTCAACAAGCCTCATAAAATATTGAATATTGAATAAAGACTCACAAAAATAAGTCTTAAGCCGAATTGACTACCAAGGGGAATAAACCATGATTTTTTTAAATTCAAAGGCGGCGAATCAATGGTTGAAATTTATGAAATTTGTGAATTGATAAATTAGAATGAAAGTTTGAAAAATTAGACCCAAATTATTGGGGAAAATTATGAAACACACATTGATGATGAAATTAAAACATAAAAAATAAATTCCACTTAATAGGCATTCCAAAATTATAGAACAAAGAAAAGAGAAGGAAAATACATGTCTCTGAGCTAAAGGAAACATGACTTTTTGAATTGAAAGAATCCCTAAGTACAAAACCAAATAACTTTTAAAAGATTCATACAAACATATGTCTTTATATGAATTCAAGATTTAAAAAATATTGGAAGTGAGGAAAAATTGCTATGTAGCCAGAAGTGAAAAATGATTAAAATAACATCAAACAAAAAGTATGCCTATAAACCACAACCATGTAAAAAATGAAAAAAACTCACTTTCATTAATCTTTAAGGAAATGCCTATGTATTTGTTTTATTATTAATTGTCATATCATCATCATCATCATCATCGTCATCATTTATAGTCCTGAGCATTTAACCTAAGGCCTTTGTACTGAGCTTCATCTCCAGCCATTTAAAGGTGTTTTTAAAGTTTAGATACAGGACCTGCTGTGTTGCTTAATGATATAGGGTGTACTCTAATTTGAGATCTTCCTGACTCAGCCTCCCAGCGTGATGGGATTACAGGGTATGTATTACTACACTGGGCTCATATATAAATGTTCATTTAGATTGCAAGGATACATCAGTATACACATATTAGAATGGGTAAAAAATAGTGACAGCACCAAGTACTGCTGCTGATTGTAGTAATTGGATCATGAAAACATTGCTCCTATAAATGTGCGCTGTGCAGCCACTCTAGAATACAGTTCAGTAGTTCTTTAAAACAACTAAATATGAAAATACCATGAGCCGGGCGTGGTGGCAGGAGATCACTGTGAGTTCAAGACCAGCCTGGGCTACAGAGTTGAGTTCCAGAGCAGTCTGAACTACATAGTGAGACTGTCTCAAAAAAGCAAAAAAAAAAGAAAAAAAAAAAAACAAAAAAAACCCAACCAAACAAAAAAACCACAGCCCAGTAAATGTACTTCCAGATATTTATCTCAGAGAAAGATTTATGTTAAAAACAAAAGCATGGGTGTTTATAGATGCTGTAGTCATAAAAATTCAGTTGATAATGATCAATTAAATTTATGGTAATGTTTCTCTACTTTACCTTGGTTCACTTTTTCAGCAACAAAAAAGCACAAACTATTGATACTTCCTAGCATGCCAGTACATTTCCGGAATATTATGTTGAGTAAAGGAAACATACTATATTGTTCCATGTATATGACATTCTTTAAATGATAAAATTATAGAAATAGAAAACAGACAGTAGTTGCCAGTGGTTATAGAGGGTGGGGATGGGAGGAAAATGAGATGGCTGTAAAAGTCCAGCATGAGGGATATTCAAATTGATAGAATATTCTACATCTTGATTGCAGTATTGTCAGTATTTGGATTGTGACATTAACCTACAATTTTTTTTTCAGCATTAATTGAGTTCATTGGTACATTTTAGGGATACAGTACAGTTACATTCATTGTTGGGATCTTGTACCTCTACATGACAAGTCTTGATTCTCATTTTTTCCCCTTGTCCCTGCCCTCCCTTCACCCCCTCCTCCCCTCCCCATCTACAAACACTTTATTTTCATCTTTTCATTATCTCACATTTTTTTCTTTTCCCTTATTACCCTTCCCCTACCCATCCCACCTTCCCTACACCTTTTATCCTACAATTTTTAAAGATGTTAGTTTTAGGTAATGAATACATAGGATTTTGATGTATTATTTCTTATAACTGCATGCAAATCTATAATTGTTTAAGAATAAAAAGTTTAAAAAATAGAAAGGCTAAACCTCAAACCATTCTTCAAATACAGATGACATTTCAGCAAGAGACAAAATAATTAGCTTTTGAAAATAAATGCTGTGGAGGGACACTTAAATGTTTGGAAATGTTCCCATCATTCTATCATTTAATTGACAGAAATGATTGTATCTCTGATCAAACTTTCACATTTACTCACATAAGATGGCCAAGTGAATTTTGTAATAAATTTGAAAAATATGGTTAATTCAGTGCTGCAATCAGCTTAGAACACATATTGAAAAAAGGCAATAATGAAGGCATAATAAAAGGCAATGTCTTCTGTTTAATTTAGAAGAAACATTTGTCTTACAAAGAGAGAAAACTTCAAAAAAGACCTTGGCATATTTGTTTGCCTGAATTATAAAATCAGTGACAACATTGGTCAATAACAATTTTCATACCTTTGTAACTTTTTTATGCATTTAGTTTCTTTATAGCTCTCAAAATCAGGTATTGATTCTCATTATACTTAAAAGTTTTGAAATTTTAAATACATATAAAATTATACAACACTCAGACACAGATTGCCAGGTTAATGTATTAAATAAAAATTTAAAGGATGAAAGATCTTAAATCAGGTTTCTTTAAAATATTTTGATATTTTCCTTTATATGAGTATATTTTGAAGGGAAATTATTATATCATTCTAATAATAAAATAAAATAATTAAAATGTTATAATATATTTATTTATTCCTTTAAAATTTCTTCTATTAGTATATATTTTATGATGTATATACTATTTACAAATTTAAATTTAAA